ATTTGGTAAGTTCTTTCTAACATTGTGAGAAAGATTCCTTCTTTTCTGATTGTTTAATTTTTTATGAACTTTCATGTTGGCTTCTCTCTTACTGTCTGGCAACTTGGGTGACAACCACTTGGTTGCGCGCTTGAAGATTTAATTCCAGATTTCCTTATGGAAATAGCTGTTGGCTGCACTTTAATTCTGGAGCTGTTATGTAATTAACAAATGGTAAACACCACAGCGTACACTATTGAGTTATGGATGCACGCGGGAGGTTGCTAAGCACGAAAGAAGCGTACGAGTCGCTCGAGGCGAGGGGGAAGGGGGTAGGCTGGAATTTGAACAAACCAATTTTCAAAAGTTTCATCTTATTATTGTTATTCTTGTTTTTCTCGTTGCCATGTTCCCACCAATAACGTAGCTCCATTTTCTGCCTATAAAAGCACACACAACCCACAATTCCTCTATTCGCTCTGACGAAGGGCTAACGCTCGAAACGTCAGCTTTTGTAATCGTTACGGTGGCCAATTTACCATTTCAACTTTGTTGATATATCCAAATTTTTCAAAAGTTCAAATGCCCAGGTGGCTGCCCGAGGGGGATGTTGAATATTCGAATTGACCAACGCATAAATTCTTAACAATCGAGGTGTGACATAACCATGAACGTGCATACGGACGTAAGGCCATCACCTGACAGCGAGATTCTCTCGGCTTAATGAGCTACCATCATAGAGTAAGCCTGCAGAAAAATCCACTTGCAACTTTTAGAAGATCAGTTTGTCCAGGAGCCATTTAAGGGTGAACGTTGGCGCGTTTCAAATCATTGGATGCGTATCCCATTCTCCTGGGACACTGTACTTTTAACTTCTATTCGAGCTTAAACACAAAAATAGGACTACATTTTTTAATTTTTTACATTTTGTTAATTTCACTCGACACCATCAAAGATTCCTTGGAAGCTTAAAATTGGATGGAGGTTCCACAGTATATATCCAAAAAGAACGCCATTTAGCTGATAAGTTAGCCTCTTCTCATCCTTGACAAAGAAAGCTAGTTTGACTTCATTAAACTCTTGTTTTACGGTTGGTTTCGCTTTCACACAATTTCTAATCTCGGCACCAATCATTTTAAGATTGACTTGTTCTCGAGCACTAACGGAAGAATATCATCCCATCATGATGAGTTTTCCTAGTATCAACTGTTTTATCTCTTGACCTCAATGGGACGCAATGTTTATAACCTCAAGATTATTCTGAGATCGAAACTAGTTGGGTTTTTTCTTCCGTAAACTACTTGCGACATAGCTTCAGTTGTATCACTGCTGAAGCCCCTGAAGAAGTATGCCCTATTTCGTTTTCTAATAATAAACATAGTACGCATCGCTTGATTGGTCAATTCAGTTTCCAAGCGGATGCTTCATCAGATTATAGAACCCGCATGTAACTAGTATCGTCGGCCCGGCTTGTGATTTGTAAGCGTTCCTCCCAAAATCTAGAGTGACTTTATCAGAGCGCCCCAGAGACCGGAAA